TTGCATCGTCACCGTCCCAATGACACTAGCTGAAAGTTGTGTATATGTAAATACACCATTTATCTCGTGCCACTGTCCTAATGAACATTGTAACGGAATTGTTTAAATAAATTTGGTATTTAAATACTTAACGAAACAGCGTCTGCAATTAACTTCAAGGAATATTTATGTTACAAGGTTCCTAACTAGTTTTACCTATTAATTGTTATTTATTTTTTTTATTTTGGGTTGTACAAGATTAATATTTACTTGGATTAAGTAACATTTTTGTTTCTCTTAGCTGATGGTCTTCGACAAGCCGCGTCCACATTGTCTGTGCCCAAACAAAGTATATAAGACGCATCAATCAAAAGCAAATCACAACACATAAAACTTCTCACATTACCTCAAAATGAGCGCAAATAAAAAGAAACGCACAAAAGTTACGACAAAAATTGCGTAGCCAAATCTCATTAAATGAGGCAGGAAATCAGAAAAATATATTACCCACTTTAAAGCAATGCTGGCACATCAGACTCCTGGCTCGTCTCCTCTATCAAAAATAAAGACAAAATGTAACTAAACACCAAAAGCACAGACATGTCCGAGGGCTATGAGTGAGCCAACAAAATGGGCAAAACTTTAAATCATTCGTCACAAGACGCCAGAATAGCTATGTGCTTTCTTGATGGGGATAGTGGAGGGTGTTATGCTGTCATAAAAAATTGTCTTGAGTATTAGTTTTGGTCTGTGACAAGGTGCCAGCCGGCGCTGACATTTATTCAGTGTCCACTCGCTACTGCTGCATTTATGGTGAGGGCTTCTTATCTGTGCGTCCAGGCTGAGGTCCTGGTACCCAGGTTACTTCGTAGTCCCCCAGCTCGTCTGTCAGCGGACAACGAAATATTATTGTTGTAACTGCTGCTATCGCTGCAGCTGCCTTTTCTCCCTAATGACAAACAAAAATCAACAGTATACAAAAGGTGAACACTGGGAATCTAATATGCAAATCCGTTTTTTTATTTCATGCAATTATTCTCTTCCATTGTTAAAGGAAGGCGAATATTCGGAGAACGAAATAAAATAAAAATATTTACATGAAGTATACAAATAGAAGAGTAAAGTTGCTCGAAAAATTAGCTAATCAACTGGCAGCTTTATTTTGTATGCCCTTGAATATAAATAAAAATATATCCAGAAAAGGACCCCAAAATGCATATATGTATATTTTTGACCAGGACGACGAACTGATTCGAGTTAGCTATGGCTATCTATTCGTCTGTATGAACGTGTCGTTCTCGGAATCTACAAAAGTTACACACTTGAAATTGTACATAGATGTTCTCTTTTACCATGTGCATAAGCGTTCAGGGCTATATTTTAATATAATAAAAGCCAAAATATTCTATTGAAAAAAGTGCACGAATTTGTGTAGTCGAGCATACTTGACTATAGGGCGCTTACTTGCAGTTTCTTATGCAGTTCAAGTGCAACAGTTGCCTTATGGTTGATTTAATGTAAACTCAGAAAGCACTTATTAATTTAAATTATCAAGCATTAATGGAGAGTTCTGCTAGGCGCTTAAGAACAGTTGGTTCTTGCTTATTTGGGGTGGGCTGCTAAGTGAAGGGATGAAACTCTTCGCATCCATCATACGATGGTGACAATTGCAACTGTCAAAAGTTTTGTTACTTGTCGCTGAATTTACACTGATTGACAGAACAAAATGTTGGCGCATATGTTACTCGACGGTTGAAAATCGCAAGGAAATGTTATGCTAATGAGTTATAGTTTCGTATGAAACTAAATGCTGGCTCAACTGCATGTGTCTTCAAAATTGTGAACCTTTTGAGTACATAATAATAAATTTTTTTTGAAATTTGCAAAAAGGAACATCGACATCAGTTGTCATAACAAGTTCGATCCGGACACTGACACCAAAAACGACATGGCACTTTGCGATTTATTCAAGTATTTTGTATATTTTTAGGACATTTTTGCAGTAGCTGTCCTTTTCAATTAAGTTCCGTATATATTTATGCTCATATTAAATATGAGAGTTAATTGTTTTTGAGTGCGTGGACAATAGTTAGAATGCAATTTAAATTGTTGCATTGCAAACATTTTTTTTCGATAATGTTTTAATGCTTTTGCCAACACACATTTGCACACTGAAATCGTTTGCCGCTTGGAGAGACTGCCCATTACAATTAAACGCATATTTAAGTAGGCAATTTAGTTCGACTTCTCATGCTGTGCGTCTTTATTCATCAATATCCCTTGAGGTTTGGGTTGATTAAATAGGTGCATTAAAGCAGCTGCCATATACACAATACTCACACCCATTACTTTGTGCGTATGTATACAGTTTTGTAGCCGACTGTAATCCGTAAATCATATTGTATTTGATTTATGACTGCCTTTGATTTGATGCCCACACTCACAGACTTCCCGTTGTTTAATAAATTATGTATAACGTTTTAAAAAACTATTTTTCTTTTTGAGCTTTCCCATTCGATTAAACTATGTTATGTAATCAATAAGAAGCATGTATATAAATAGATAATCTAAAATTGATAGCATAATATAGAAAATACTTTTCTTGCTTGTTAAGAATATTAAGCTGTTTATTTTATGATGATAATTGTTCATTTGTGCGAAATATTAGGTATCAGTTCTAAGCTGCTGGTGAATTACTTCTATATACTGTAATAAATGCTACAATGGTAATGCCTACGATAAAGCGCATGATATGATCTGCGAAAGTGGAGAGTTCCAGCGCTGAGCTGCTCTAATGTCGTAGCCATCCATGTCTTGGGCTGCTGTCATGGCAGCTGCTTGTTTGTCTGCATTTCGGTGACATTTTTGCCATTAGCCAAATGTCAATGCTCAACGCCAAGTGGTAAGAAGCACTTATAATAGATGAGATTTACAATTGTCGTCAACAACAGCAAGAACAACGAAAGTGAAACCAGACAGAAGCGCAACTCGGGCGAGAAGCAGGACGAAGCAGCCTGTCGGCTGTCAGCTACCGGTTGCTGATTCTTAGGGGTGCGCTTAGTAACTTCATGTTTGGATTGTGGAGAAGGTTGCGCGATAAAAGAATGACACTAAAGCAGTTTGGTTGCTGCCTTGGGGTAACTGCTGGTGCATCCGTCTGGTCATAGCCCATTCTTTTTGTTCTTATTGCCTGGCGGCACCTGACAAAATCTTTCTCAAGATAATTTAAATAATTTCACTGACCCAGGCCAATCACCCATACTCTTGGTAGCCATGGTAGCTAAAATCATCATGCCTAAGTACTCTGATACCTGCTGCTGACAAATGGTTTTTAAATCACCTGTCCAGCAAGTTGCATGTTTTGCAGCTTTTTGTTGCCAAATTTCGCGTTGGCACTTCGTTGCATTGCATTTTAAATTAACAGATAACTGGTGTACGCATATCTTACACTGGCCAGTACAACGCGACGTATGCATAACCACAATGAAAACCTGTCCTAACGGTGGACAGCATGACGGCTTATTATCACGCAATGGCAGCACTTTGCACGGTTTGTAACACACGCGTGGCACAAATTGGAAAGGAAAAAGGGTCCACGGCTGCTGCACTTGTCGTGTGATGGATTAAACGGCTCTTAAGCTGCAGCTGAGCGATAAGCGGCGCTCATGGCCTGCTATTTTTGAGCTGCCACAGCCAACTCGGTTAACTCACTTGGCTGACACACCTCAGTTAGCGAAAATGGGCAATTAAAGTCGTTTTCAAATTGAAATGTAATTTTACCAGGCTGAATATGGGCTAGCAACAGACAGCACAGCCTTTCAAAATTCACGTATGTTTAAATTTGTAAGCATTTAGTGGAAAGTTAATTTCAAAAAGCCAACGCTGAAATACTAAAGATGTTTATTAAATTCTTACTGTTTGCAAAATTAATTTTGTTCCTTTTGTTTTTTTTTTGTTAGTTAACTACACTCAAATTAAACTGGAAATGATGCAATAACAACAATATATATGGTAAGTAGTTGTTAAAGTTATTTTAATTAAACTACCATCTCTACAACGAATCAAGCTTGTTTTACCTAAATGGAGCTTTCCTTATTGGAATACCATCTGTACACGTTCAAATGAAATACAAACTATATAGTAGCATAAACAAACGCACATAACAATCTGCTAATAATGCCTCTGACCATTTATGAATCGAAGATTTGCAAAATAGGTAGGACGTATGGTAATACGTTACTTCATGCTAAACTTACATACATATGTACCACATACAAATATACACATTTATTTATATGGTATGTCTACTGACACAAGCGCGCATATCAACTCATAAAAGCAAATCACCAAATCGGATTTAATGGTCGTGTTTGTGGGTGGGTGGCGATTATGTTTACATAATCGAACTTTAGCTCATGCTTCCTTTTTATAGCTGGGTTGTTTATGCAATTTATGAAACAATTGTTTGTATGCATATGTGTGTGCTATTTTATAGAGATATGCATATATAGGTGCGTAACATCACCCCTATGGCCTCAGCACCCTCGTTGTTTGGTATGCGATCAAATGAAGATGTTTAATACATTTTGTGACCGCCGGCATTTGGCACTCGCTGTTGCATGTGGATGCGTTTGATTGGTTTTAAATTACATTTTTGGGCACTAGTTCTTGATTTATTGAGTTGCTATGGAAAATTACTTACTATCTAGCTATGGGCCCTCTAAAATGTTTATATGCATAATGCCAAACTTTTGGGGGTGTTTTGGAAATGCCTCAAAACAAAAACCAGAGCAAAAGAATTGCTATGTATAACATTCAAATTGTTTATTGGACTGATTAATTTGCATTCCGAATAAATATTTGAACACAGCCCATAGAGTAGGGTATACAATACAATGCGTGCGATTTATTCCAAATATATAATTAAAAAGAGAAATGTTTTAAATCCATTTAAAATGCTACTGGGCTCCTAACTAACTACATGTATTCATGAACTATTTACTTTCATCACTTTAATATTTTGAGAGGCGTGTGCTTGCCTTTATTTAAACTTTCATTTCATTTTTTTTTTAGCTGGTACTATTTTGTAGCAACAATTTCAGTAATTTCATTATTGCGACATTACATTAGCATTTCCAAATTACACAACCGTCCGGGCCGAAGCACAAATTTCAGTCCCTTTACTGCGCCGCCCCGGTGGAACAAAGTTTGTGCAGCTGCACATCCGTTTTGATGATGCTGCCAGCGGCCTAGAGGCATCAGTAAAATCAAGAAAGATGCGCAGCGCAGACCCAAACACAAACCAAACCGAAAGATAAACATTTGCCACAATACCCGGCAGTGGCCATCAATGGCAGACGCTCTGAATAGCAATGCCAATGGCAAACGGGAGGCCATGACAATCTTCGATGAATTGGACGACAAAGTTTGCAACTGGACGCGGACGCGAACTCGAACTCGAGCGCGGACTTCAACTCCGATTTCAGCTAGAAGCCCAGCTCCTGTTTTATGCTTGTCTCAGCTGCTGGTGGTGTTGGGGTTCTGCGTACATAGTTCACTACAGTTGGAAAATTACTTATTTTTCAATTGTTGTTCCTCTCCGAATGACATTTAGCATTGTTGTAGCCACCGCTGCCATGCAATCTTGATTACTGTCAGTCGCAGCAGTTGTATTTAAAATTGGCTAACAAGTTGTATAGCATTTGCCATAAGAAATGGCATGGTGCCATCGACGCTCCTTTTTCTGCTTTTAACTTTTCATTTGGTTTTCCAGCCTCAATGCCGCCCCATGCCATCCTCCCCCGTCTGTTGCTCTCGGTCCGAGTCATAGCGACTCTTTTCATATCAGCGCAATTCTTAATGATCTGTCGAAGCGGCACCTCCTACCATATCTCCATTCGCTCTACCAGGACTCACTATTAAATTTATTTACCTTTTATTTTTTTGTTTTCTTTCATTTATTGCCCGTCAGTTGTGATAATATTTTTGTTGTAGTTTTTTTTTATACCCTTCACGCTACAGCGGGTAAGGATATATAAATTAAGATTTTTTTAATTCAAAATGAAAATGAAAATACAGAATACAAAACAAAATACTATTGAGTTAGGCAACTTAAAAAAATTTGTGTAGCACTGTTGACAACGAATTTTATAGTTGATCATTTTCAGTTTTACCCTATTTAAGTGTGTATTTGAACATAATTTTGTGTTTGATTCTGGCACTGTGTTTGTCATTTGTCCGGCAATAATTCGTTTTTCACGGCATATTGTTTTAATTGTTCAGCCTGCGGTCATTGATAGCGACACTTGTAAAAAATTTGTAATTGCTTTCATGGATATTTAATGGATTAATTTTATATAACGCCACCCACTGTCTGTGCTAATCAGGGCCTGGCAAAATGACCCACAATGTAAACTGATTTGTTGTTCCGTATGGCAAACACGAATGGGTGATCCGCTGTAAAAACTTTGCGCTCCGGATTTGAGGGTTCAGTAGAGGTTTTAGCAGCTGAAAGGAAAAAACATGCAAACTTGATCCTCCCAATAATGCGTGTTTTGCTTACGTGTGTTAGCATCTATTTCACAGCCAGCTTCGTTCACATTCAAATATAGTTTTTGCCTTGCCTCAGTGATCAACTGGGGCGATTTCTTAGCAAAAAGTCCACTTAAGTCAGCGGCGCCTTTCTCAAAGATACGCTTTATTCCCAACTGTTACGATTTAAAGATTAATATCTTCTTGTGCATCAAGATGTGCAATGGATTTACTTTTTTTAGCGGTACTTTCAGATCAATGTCACATTCTAATTTGAATCTGGGCACGGTTATATCAACATCATGCATCACCGACTTGAGGGCCACTTCGTTAAGGTCAATCTCTCCTAGCTTTGATTCTAGCTCTGCAAGACCCATAGTCTCGTCAGGTACAATCAATAACATATTTACATCTGATTCATCGAAGGGCAGCTGCAGAATACGCGATTTTAGCTTCCTGGATTCGCCATAGCGAAACTGTCCGGCCTGAACATAAGAAAAAATATATCACAGTTGGAACTGATTGATATCATAAAAGAGATGATTTTTTACACATAGTGAAGCTTTACTGGTACGAGACTTACCTGTCGCATCATGGGTAACTGCATTTTCTGTTCCTCGCTTATCGCGAAATCACCCAATGAAGTGCGTTCTACAGAAAATTGCTTGGTCCACTTGGCACGAAAGTACAAAGAGTTGACCAAAATAACGTTCGATTCCACATTGAAAGAGGCTGGAGTAAGCAAATCGCGTACCGTATTAAAGGTTTGCCGCTCAAGCCATTTATTGACTTGTCGCACAGCACCTTCGGCATCTGCAAAATTTAACGCATCTGCCTGAGTATTGAAGAATTCCCCAGCCTGCAGATTGAAGTCGGGACGCAGTTCCTGATCCTGCTTAACATACAGACCAGTGGCTATGCGCATCGACACTCCCTTATCGCTGCACACGCAATCTTTACTTATGAACTCGGCATGTTGCTTGGCAATTTCCAGTTTCTTAGCGAATCCAAGTATCAGTCCAGAACGCAATTCGTCGGCGCATTTTCCGCCGGCACCCATAAACACTAAAGTCATGGCACTGCGCGCAGCTGTTGGTGATATGATTAAATTGTTGACCCTTACCTCCTCCTCCTCGTTAAGAGCACGGAAAAAGTTTCGCGCAAAGAAAATTTGACTCAAACTTGGAGGCGGTATAATGGTGCCCCCAGATGCCATATTGATAGGATAAAACGAATCAGGCGAAGTGAATTGTTTAAGAAGTGTTTACTAAATAAATATGCGTAGTTTGTCAGTAAGTAAAAAAGAGAGGCTTACGTTGTTTACTAAACATGTTTCTTTTGAATTGTCAGCTTCGAGCAGATGGGTCCTGAATTACTTTAAAAATAATCTTCATACCGGTTTAAATTTCGTATATGAACTTGTATTTAATTTTAAATTTATTTAATTTACATTATAAGCACTGTATAAAATAATTTGTATAGCTATAATTCATCAGCATACGAAATTACTCGATATGTGCATATATGTGTATGTCTGTTCTGTGTGGCTATGATGTTATTATTGTTATGCACCTACTGCCATTATTTTTGCTTTTCGGCTTGCATTACTGCCAATTTTTATATATTTGCATAGCTGCTGCTGCTGGTGCTGGTACTGGTGCTGCTGGAGAGGCATTATTATTTGCATGTCACTACAGTAAGTCAAATAACAAAGGGTCCCTGGTCTTTGGCCCCCAATGCCGTCTTAGTTGCTCAGTTGCAGCCTGTGCGCCATTTTGTTTTCTCTCTCAATACCAAATCAAATCCGAGACCGCCATTTTGGCCTGAGTGGCCTTTGTATGCTTAACTGCTGTGTATTCACCTGTCGCTCTTAACAGATGTCTACACATTTAAGTTCACAGGGGTAGGGGACTACCCAGTGCCATTACATATAGTCGGCTGCAGTTACGCGCCGTTTCGCGCATATTTTGCGCCTGATTGCGCCGCTTATGCGCCCAATGGATTTGAATTCATATTTCAATTTCATTTGGCACACCTTTTAATGTCACACACGGACTCATACTATGGCATACACACAAAGGCCGATGCATCATGCGTTTGTTCATGCACTTGGTTGGTGCAAATGAACACATTTTACGATTGAGTGATCCGTTTAAGTAGAATTCGTTTATCGTTCAAATTAATTGATTTGAAAAAACATGGAGTCTCTGAATAATGAGCGTGTTTTCAACTTGATTGTCTTACACCGAAACTAAAAACTCCTGGTTTAAATTTCGAATTAATATTGAATTGTGAAAATGCCATAGGGCAGACCTAAGAGCTTTTAAGCTCTAAGAAGCAGTATTAGAATATCAATAGTAGTCTTTCGTATGCGGCATCAATATTAAAATCGGCACTAATGGCGTTTTAATGAAGTGCCTCAAGGTATGCTACAAAAATATGCGCGACAGTACAGAAGACGGCCGGATATCCGTAAATTGTCGGTGAATATTGTGCTTATGCATCTTAGACGTGAACAAAATGAAACAATTTTAAATTGACACTGGAAGTGAGTGCTGGAGCAGTTGCATCTCACTGACAAATTTCTTTGGCGCCCAAAGCTATCATTTTCGATTGTGAAAGTTTCTATGTGCTGCGGTTATCCCTCATACGAAACGCAAACCCAAACCATATGTCGAACCACCACGCAGCTACTACCACTTCCGTCAGTATATTCAGCGCGTTGTGCAGATTCGGAGGAAACTAGTTTGCGGTTGCCCTCACTTGAAGATATTATATGGCCCACACGGCTTCGTATTTGAGTTTGAGTTTGGGCAGAAGCTGAACCGCAATAAATATGAAATTTAGATGAAATTTTCTGAATGTGATACAATAGCAAGTAAATTGCATAGAATTTACTTTGCAACCGTTTTCGGGGTTTTCAAATAAGCCTCTTCGCAATTTGTTTGATGCCAAACGATATGGTAATTTAATTTCATAGTTTTCAACTTTTTCACAAATTTGCAAATGTATTAGCAACAAAAAATAATTCGATTCTCCAATAACCCTCCAGCTAGCTCTTCTAACAATTGGGTACGCAACTATTATCTGATGGAGTTTGTGTTGCGTCCACATTTTATTTACTCTGTATGCTATGTTATTGTGCAAGCTGACTTTGTCCATTTTATTTGCGGCCCGTTTGAAACACGACATCAAATAGCAAAGCGACAAACATAGAATGACAAATGGCAAATGTCGCAGCATAATTGTCATTAAGTGTCTCAAGCACATTGTCAAGCATACGTAACGTTGGCCGCAGTCGCAAGATGAAACTGTAGTTTCAGCTGAAGACAATCGGGACTCAATAATTAATTGTTTGCCACACTTGTGTAATGTATTTTGCATCTGCAATTACTCGATTGCTGCTACACGCACGCACTTATTTATTTATTAATTAAATCATTCATTGTTCAATCAGACCTGTGAGAATTGTTGCAGCTGCCTTAGATGTTTTCCCAGCTGTGTACAGACAGCATCAGGTATGTGGGAAGTATGGCTGGAACTAATCAATGAAAACAACTCTCTGAGCTTCTGTCAGACGCATTCATCAATTAATTAGTTTCCTTTTCCACAAGCGAGGACTGTCTGATTTGCGGTAAATGATTTCAATAAATTAGTGTAGCTTCGCAAAATCGTAGTATAGCACATCGCATTTGGATTGGGGACTTCTTCCTCTACTTCAACTACAGTAATCTGAATCAATTGATTATTTTCCGGCATATTGCCATTTCCATTGCAGTCTGTTTTGCCATATATTTTTTAAGTTTTTTGTATCGAGATAAAATTGTTTGTATTTGTTTAGGCTTATGGCCAAGACGATAAAACCGTCTCAAGCGTAGACAAATGCCAAGAGTAAACTAAGAAAATTTTTAAACATAATATACTGAATTTGGCATACTCTCACTTCAAATGTAATAGTATGCCTATATATTTTGCACACAAATTAAAATAAATCAAGAAATTAAAATAAATCACAAATTAAAATAAGAATCAAGAATATTCACAATTTAAACGAACGTTTAATTCATGTATTAAAATTGTATATGAGCTACTTTTTAACTACATTACCGCTAAAAATATTATAGGGGATTTCATTTTTACGTAACGAAATTCTTACTTAAGTTAAGTATGTTCAATGATCAGCAAGTGTATCCAAACAATGTAGGAAGAAACAATAAAAATGCGATTTTATGTCTATGACAGGGCTGAGTAGGTAAACACACACATGAACCAAATAGAGATAAATAGTCGAGAGTGGAGAGCACTCTAGAAACGCTAGACATTGGCTAAATTTAAACAGAACAGTCACACAGAACACAGCACACACCACCAATGCACACACACAGAGAGAAGCACATATATACGTCAAGTGAAATCCGAAGAGCTGAATTTCCTGTGCCTTTCTTCGATTTGATTTTTCATTTCCGCTGCAAATGGTGACAAAGTTAGAGAAGTGAGACTTGAAATAGTATGTGTGCTTTACTATTTGTATTTTGTGTGTTGATTTCTTGTGAAATATCAATACTCGAAGGAGCAAGGCAAACACACACGTGTACACAGAATTGATGCGAGAATTTACCTCAAAGTCCACTTGAGAGCTCCGGTTGGACTTGTGTTGCTTGTCCTTGGGTTTGCAATCGCTCATTTGCAGCAAATTTAAACAAACCCCGAAAATGAATTTGTTGGCCTGAGAGAAGGGCGACAGCAGCCAAGTGTAGCCGCAGCTATTTGTTCAACAGTGTCAATGACAATCATTAACACAAATCAATGGGATTAACAATATTCTGTGTCTCACACATCGCACTGTCAACATTCGCAGCACAAACGCAGTTAATGGCATTGTTCAACTTTATGTCGAAACCAATGTAAATACCAACAGCATTGCAACCACAGAAACACGTGCACATACACCAACACATACGTACGTAGAGTCAATACAAATCGACATGACAGACGCAGACCTAATCCGAATGTAGTGCAAAGTAAAGTGAATGCATGACCAAAAAAGAGAGCTGGTACCCAGCAAACGCCTTGTCCAGAAATGGTTAGCACTTAATTTCCTATTTGTGCTTTTTGGATCTAAAGTCTCTGCCCCGGACATTTAACCGTGTTTTGCATATGATTTCTAGTAGTTTTCGTAGCTTTCTTCAAAGGGCTCGGACATCGGGAGAGATATTGGTGTATGTATTTAAAAACTGTAATTTATTTTCAGTTATTGACAGCTGATTGGTAAACTTTTAAAATGCCAAAGTCAGTATTGAAAGGACGTCGGCATACACTATGGAAAGTAGACAAGCGTAAAATAAGATAAATGGTCGTCCGTTTCTAAAATCCTTTATGCTGAGTGCAATTACTGATTTTGCACCATAATTTGCTGCACCACATCTTAGACTTGCTTTGAATTTTAATTGTGGTAACCACACACCGTTATTGTAAGCTTACATGTACAAGAACTAGGAGACTAGAATTGACTAATTGGTAATGACTACAGAATTGCAGGCAACAGCGTTCATAACTTTGTCAAAGTCTAAAATGTTAGTTAAAAACTGGAATACCAACAACACGCAATTTAAAAAGTTGTTGCCAAGAGACTTTTCCACTTACAAATGATGGCGAACACGCCGTTCCCAACCTTTGCCGGGCACGCACGGCTGGCTCGTTTAATTTTGTTGTCAACTGCTGCGCCCGGTTCATGGCATTAACTACTCTATACCAATTCGAAACCAAAGTCAAAAGCCGTGTGCTCTACGTAGCATAATTCTCTGGAAATGTTAAAACATGTGCGAAACTTTTGCACCGAAATTCGTTAACTGTCAAAATGTTGTTTCGAGTGTATAGCAAATCAGGTAAAATGCCACAACATTTTGCAGATTGTAAGTGGGGCGATTGGGCGTGGACAGGTGTTGGCATGCTTTTAACTTTTCAACTGTATATTGCATAGGGTAAACTGTAAATTGTAGATTGTAAACAGTAAATTGTAAATTGTTTGTGTTTTAAAATGTTCTTTTTTTTTTACAGTCAAAGTTTTGGGATGTACGTTTCATTCACTCGCTGGGCATTAAGTAACTATTGATTGTCATGGAAACGGCAATGCCAGCATTAGCGTGTAATAAAGTGGGGGGGTAGTGCAGTGGGCACCTCAAATGGGGTAGTACTGTTCTTGTGTGCAACATAATTGATTTGTCCAAAGCGCAGCAATTCGCAGCGCGCTTTCCATTGGCAAACCATCATTAGCAGTATCATCTAAATCAA